AAAAAAAACTGCTACTGGAGAGATTAGCAAGTTTTAGAAGGGCAAATACCTTTACTCATGCAACACCTTGATCCTGGTGCATGAACTGGATCCCAAGCACAGCCACAGCAAAAGAAAATTACAAAAAAGCTTCATTCCCTCACACAGCTAACTGACCAGGATCTGCATGCAACAGACAGTGTATGCACAGAAGAAAAGACTCCAGAAGGAACACTGTTAAGAAGGCCTGCATCCCTCATTCAGGTATAAGAAGAACATCTGCCTTGAATTGGATTTCAAATGGTAGGAATGCATATGCACAAAAAGCTCCAACTGCCACTACCTAGCAAAAAAGAGTAGCAGGTCCTTGACACCTGAACAGAATCCAAAGAGGCAAGAATCAGGAGAAGAAGGAATGGATTAAATGGGTTAAGTGTTTTGAGATTTTTTAACCTATCCTTAGGTTTCTATATAGTATATCCAAGTAACTATGCTGTAATAACTGCCTGCTTCATCTTCATGCAGGAATATGAACCCAAAACATTTTTATATTGGTGCTTGCACTGCCTGCACATCAGAGATACTCATACGTGATTGAGTACTGCTGCTCCAGTCCTATTGGTGGACCTGACACCTCCTAGTTTCTGGTTTAACAGCCAAAAACTTGAAGTACCTTCTGCCATCTGGATAGTTACCAGAACACAAAACCAAAAATAGAATGAAAAAAACTGGCAGTTGAAATTGTAATACACTTCTGCAGTCCTGATCCAGAAATTAAAACCACAGAACACATGAACACCCTTCACTTATGAGAGTGATGACTGGCCTGCTTATGGAATCAGGTTGTTTACCCTAAAACAAATTTTGTCATGGTGTTTTGGGAGAGGGGGTTGCTATCTGCTAGTCTTAGCATCACTTAGAAAATATTTATTAAGTAATGCCCAAATTATATAGATCATATATTTACAGAAAATAAACACATCAGTTAGATGGCAGAAGATTATGTACTCATTCTGTCAGCAAGACATTTTCACAGGATTTAAAGCAGAGGAGGTAGATTCAAATGACTGGAACTTCACTGATGTATGTGAGGGCTTCTGTTTCTCCTGCACCTCTATTTTGGAGTAATCTAAACACTGGCAATAGTTACACAGCTGCTTCCTTTCGATAAAAGGTTGGAGCATATTTAGCCAATTAAAAGCTATGCAAATGTCTCACACATAACTTCCAGGAATTTGTTCTGCAAGATGAATTTTTATTATTACAAAAAGTATTTATCACACTCTTTAGTATTTCCCTCACAAAAACAAGCACAAGACTACAGAAATGTGTAACATTTACATAAAATGTGAATGCAAGGAATGTTTAAAAATTACAGTATCATTACGAAGGTTATATAAATCTCTGTGCCCTGCTGTCCAAGGTGTACATGTACATCCCTACGATCTCTCCTGAAATAATCAAAGGGCTATATCACGCACTTTACAGTAGTTTAATTAGCACACATTTTTTTATTTCCAATAATACATTACTTAGGTACCAGACAGATAAGTATCAATTCCAAAAAAAAGACTTAATAATAACTATCTTTCTATACAAACCCCAGTGAAAAAGGTCTTTTATTCAATCCTCTGGAGGAAAACCAAAGTTTAAGGCTCCACCAACTTGATTTTGAAATATTCTGGACTAAAGGAATAGATAGCATCATTCAATCATCTGGCACCCCTTTGATTTTTCTCTGGAATATTCATCAAATAACAGCAACTTAAATAATTTCAAATCTATTTTTCAATGCAAAACCACATTCCATTATTGCTACACACCCATGCAAGGAGACAAAAGGGTCCATCTAAGCCTCTCCTAAATTAATAGCACTCTAGAGAAAACTAGTCATACACCAGCTCAGACTCTGGACTCAACACTACTCCATCCTTCCATGTCTCCCAGTCACCCCCCTTCCCCATCCTTAATATTCCATGGTTAACTTAGCTTAAGCAGACCAGAACAATAAATAAGGATGAGGGATGGAAGAAAGGCATGTTTCACTTCTGAGACACAGTAACTCTTTAAATACATTTGTTTTAATCTGCATGATTTAGTCACATGCTTCTAGAGAATATTTATAAACTTCATGGTTTGCCCAACTGGGCATCCTCTACTCATCCCTCAATCTCCTCTTTTTAAAAACATGAAAAGTGTTAAAGAACCAATTAGAAAAAGGCTCAGAACAATAGGCAGACACAAATATATTAATGCAAGTAAAGCATAACAAGCTAAATGTAGTAAAACATACAACTGCTGTACAGCCATGCTACTTACTGCTATAGAGCAGTTCATTTTGAAGCAACAAAATCATATTTCATTTTGACAGAACTTTGACTATGACTCTTAAAAAATAAGACTGAAAGATAATCATGAAGTCTATCACAATAACTTAAGTTATCCATTAAGAATAATTGTAATTTATATTTAAGGGTAACAAATATATAGGCATGAAAATATAGTGTTTTAAAAATATGTAAATCACAAAAAAAATTTACTGTAACATTGCATTTTGTATACCACAACTAAATACTACTGGAACCACACAAAAAAGGGCTAAAAATTTTCATGCCCTACCACTGTACCAGAATTTAAAACTTTTTATTTAGTAATAAAAAATTAAATGCTGTTTCCAGTATACAATATTACTCAGTTAAAAAAAAAAGTAACAGAAAAGGTTGCAGCTCAACAGCTGGGTTGCAGCAAACACCACACCCTGGGGGGCCGGGGGGGGGGAGGGGGAAGGCAGTAACAACATTTCCAGAAATACAGAATTTGCAATGAAAGTGGAAAATGTAAACTTACATCCTCTATTTCATCATTTTGACTGGTCCTACAGTAGAGAACCTAAATGAAGCACAGTCATATTTCTATGTGTAAGACACCAAAACTGACTAATGACTAACTTCCTGTAAGCTTTAACAAAGAGTCTGTCATTGCTTCCTAGCACTTATAAACAACCTGTAAAAGCTTATCAGTTTATAATATCACCAATTAACTCACTTTTACATAAGTATACATTGCAGCTATGCCAAGAGGTTTTTATGTCAAGAGATTTAGCCCATCCTATAAAGGCAGACAAACTAAAGGTACACAGATGGTAAACTTTTGCAGACTTTCCAAAACAAATGTTACACAAAGTGTATTTAGCATATAATGATAATATTGCAATGAAGCAGATGTAGGTGTATGCAACTCGTATTTGTTGGAGTAACAGAACATCTTTGTGAGGCATATTTGGTGAAAAGCATTACTAAAAACCTTAGGTGTAGTCAGAAACAAGGTTTAATTATCCTTTTTATAAAAATACCTTTATTTTCTCAAAACAGGTGCTATTGCCAATCCTTGCACCCTTCAACAGGTACACAGTACTTAACAGAGTTACAGCTCCATTTCTCTACAGGTTTCCTTATCAAGCAGAGGCAAATCTAGTTCCCTTTTACAGATGCAGTCAACCAGAATGGTTAAGTTTGCTTAGGTAAAACATGCCACAGTAAATGATGATATATAATCTCTACTTACAGCAATCCTGTTTGCTCACTAGAAGAAAGCTATGACTGATTACATGCAGAGAACAATTTACATTCATGGGACAGAACACACCGCATCCTTTCCAGGTCCTGAAAATGTGCTTCTGCAGCAACAGAAGCCAGTTTACGCTATCAGTCTCAGAAACGTTTCAAGAGCTGCTCTACAAACATTATTCCCATTTCGAAATACCTCAAAAAATTACAAAGCACAGACAGCAGCACATTAAGGAAAAGAGAAATTATATTAAAAAAAAAAAAAGGAGAAACCTGGAACTGCGGGTGAAAAAAGCCTAATAGCTGTGATTAGTGAGCCGTGTGTTTATGCATTTTTCAGCATTATACAAAGCACCGCGTGAATTTTAGACTGCTTCAGATGGCAAAAGATTGTTGAAAGAAACTTGTTGACAACCTTGTTAAAATAGAAAACTAATATTTGATGGCAAAAAACCGAAGTTTATTATAAATGTCAAATATAGGATTATAAATCAATACACAGAGATTCTGGATTTGAATTTCGGTGCATAACCCAACCATCTGTGGACCAGTTGTGTAGCAGAATTAAGACAACGTGGAAATCTCCAAAAGGACAGCCAGATTCTTTTCCTTCAGCTATTGCATTTCCCTGCTTATGAACATGCCCGCAGTAATCGCACTCTGCCTGCAGATTAACCCAGAGGAGATGACACCCGCCACAGCAAAGATCGCGAAGGCAATCTTGCCCGATAGGGCCGACAAGCAGGGCGCTCAGCTCGCGGAGAAGGCGGCTGTAGAGGCTGAAGCAGGCTCCGCCGCGCCGGTGCAGCCTGGCCAAGGGCGGCGGTGAGCGGGTCCGGGGCCGCTCGGCCCCACCGCCGGGCCCTGCGAGCGGCGCTGCTGCTGCTGCTGCTGCTGCTGCTGCTGCTGCTGCCCGGGGCGAGCACGGCGCTGCGCCGCGCAGCCCTCAACTTGGACTCGCTGGAGCAGGAGCGGGGTCGTTCCTCGCTCCTCTCCCGCCGCCGGGACGCTGCCTCGGCTCAGCCCGGAATCGGGCAGTGCTGCGGGTCCAGCAGCTCCTTGCCCAGCAGAAACCTCTCAGGAGAGGCCCCCCCGGGAAAAACACAAACTCCGCGGGGTGCCCTGAGGTGGGAAGTCCCCGAATAGAGCCGCCTCGCAGCCGTGAGGAGCACGGGCGGTCCCGGGGCGCGGGGCCGCCGGGCAGCGCAGCGATGTCCAGACGCCCGCCCCCGGGCACGGCCGGGAACTGCCCCGTGCCCCGCCTGGACACCAGTTGCTCGACCCACGGTGAAGAAGCGGTAAAAGGAGCCTGGGGGCGGCAGCAGAGCTCCGGAGGAAGCCCGACCCCGCCCTGCGGGCGGTGGGGCGCTCGCCCCATACGGGGCAGACGGGGCAGACGGGGCAGACGGGGTGGGGGGAGGGGGGGGGTCCGACCGCGCAGCCCTTCGTTCTCACCTCCTTAAGTTCCTTGGCGACATCTTTCAGGTCCCCCAGGACTAATTCCAAATCCTCCACGATGATCTTGATCTGCTCCTTCACCTTGGCTTTGGAGGCTGCCGGCGGCCCCTCGGACGGCGAGGAGGAGGAGGATGCGGTCCCCTTGGACTGGGCGGACATCCTTCGGGGCAGCCCGGTGCGGCCAGCGGGGCACGCAGGTCAGGCGAGCGCGGCGGCCACCGGCCGCCCGGCCCCGTCCCTCCAACTCCCGGAGCTGCCGCAGCCGCTGCCGCCACCGCCGCCTGCCCGCCCGCGCATCCCGTGCCGGGGGCGCCGAGCCGCGCCGCGCTCCGCCGGGCGGCCGCGCTGTGCAGCTGCCATCGGCTCCCGGAGCGGCGCGGGGGCCCGGCTGCAGCCCGCCGTGCGCCGCGCCTGCGCCTCGCCCCGCCCGCGCCGCCGCCCGCTACCGGCCCGCCCCGGTCCGGCCCGGCCCGGCTCCGCGCGGCAGCGGGACCGTGGGGTGCCCGCCGCCCGCGCTGCTGGGGGCCGGCAGGGGCCGGGCGGCCTCCTCGGAAGAGATGCTTTCCCCCCTCTTCGGCGCCCGAAGGCCCATGGGGGCCAGAACACTGTGCTGTATCTCCCAGAGGGTGCGCGACGCTGTCTCCCCGGAGCCCCTCGCCGTTGTCCGCGGGAGCGGGACGGGTCGCACCAGGTCTGACGGGGAAAAGGTCGAAACATGCCAAAACTGCCCCTAAAAAGTGGAGCTGTCTCATTGAAGAAGACAACAACAGTGCCTGTTTCTGCTGATAAAAGTCACGATTGGAGGGGTGGCACTCACACCCCTGTACTGTAAAGTGACCTATTTGGCGCGTCTGGAGTGTTCATGGCTCGATTTGGAGTAAGGCATGAAGCTATGGAAGGAGACTTGTGTGGATGTCACCAAATCGGTAAAAGGCACTTACATGTCCCTGCTCACCTGTATAAACAGCACTGCAGAAACACAATGATCAGTAGATCCTGTTCTATTTGGGAAGTAAAGGTTGTGTATCACACCATATAGTAATAAATGAGGCACATCAGCCAGAGTATCTTTCATGAATATTTCTGTGAGGGTCCTTCTCTGAAGTATTGGTTAGTGCCACTTTTAAACACATCCTTCCCCTACCACTCTTCAGAGATTGATCTGTGGAGCAAAATGAAGAGATTGTAAGATATCACTAACCTCTGGTGGTTTTCCATTTTACTGCAAAAAAGCTAAAAGGAGTTGGTTTAGGTATTTCTATCTTCCAGTAGCTATGAACAGTGAGAAGAGGGCATGCAGCCAAGTCCTGTTTTGAACATCACCCTGCATGGCTGCAGCTGCCTTTGATGTTGTAAGTATTTTTAAGAGTTTGGCAGCATGAGATGTTTTAACCTAGCTAAAGCAGGGCAGGAAAAGCAACCTTGCCCAGAGCAGTATGTCTGCATGTGGTAAAAATCCCACTTGGTGACGAACAGTTTTTCTCTGGGAAGATTGTGGGACTGGGATACGAATGTAGAGAGCCTGACAGCACCTGTTACTGCCTAGGATAAAGTATAATTATCATTCCACATTTTGCCAATATAAAATTTGTGATATTTGGCTGAAATTATGAATGTTAGTGGTCATAGTGTTTAATTTTTTCCCTAAGTGTCTCAAAGACCTTTCAAACAATTTCAAGGAGGCCATGTTCAAGAAGAGCGCCTGTCTTTCTTCTCAACTTTTCTCAAGTCAAATGGGAGATTTCTTTTTCATCTCAACAAGTGAAAGCTCTTCCAACCCTGACTTTTAAAATCATTCCCTCTGGTTATTTTTACTTAACTGTTTCTATATGAGCAACAACATCATATGATTTTTGAAGCTGGCTAAGTCAGAATTTCCAAACTGCAGTCACCAGCAAATTAGCAAGAAAGCAACCCACAAGTTGTTGAATAAGTTTTAATTAACATGTATGAATATTGTTCCTCAGGGGTATTGTATGAACAGAAAAAAATAAAACATTTATGAAAAGCTATCAATGGAATTATCTATGCAGAAACCAGCACACATCCAGTTTATAATTGGGAAAAAAAGCCAATTTTGTTACAGAAGTTAAGGCTGCTGTACAACAGTATACCTCGCTATACACAACATGGCTTACATAGATAAGAGATGGTTTCTTACTGTACAAATAAATATCATTGTCACAAAATTGCTACCAGATTTGCTACAGAAACTGTAATTTTAGCATTAGTAGATTGCGTCTGTATAAAGTGTTGCCACATCTCACTTCTAAATATTTTTATTTTAAGAAAGAAGAAGTGATTCCTGTTCTATCTCATCAGTTAGTTTTAAGTCATGACAAGACTTTACCTGAAATCCTGTGGTTATCCAATTCCTGTAAGCTGTGACCATCTTTGGAGACTTCCCAAAATTTTGAAGATATTAATCATGTTCTCTTTCCCAATCTCTCCACTTTTGTACTGACATTCTTCTAAGAGCTGTGCAAGATTATAGAGTGGCTGATATTCATTCAGGTGTCTATTGTTTAGCCCTGAAGAATACTGACAGCTCTTCTAAGTCCTGAATAAAGTTTATTGTCCTATTTGTCTTTAAAGCAATTTAATGCCTTTGAAAAATGTTCTATGCCTTGCCAAACCATGTCATAGTTAACTAATGAGTCCTTTCCTGCAGTAAAGTTATCTCTTAGTAACTGCAGTGTTTTTTCTTCTGTCTCTGCATAAAACGTTATTTACTATTGTGCTGTCATTTTATTGTTTTTATAGTCTTTCTGTCTATTCCTTCACCAAACCCAAACTGGCTAATCAGGCAAAATAAGAGTCATTCCTTACCAGAAGTCTGACTCTTTAGGGTGTTAAAGAGATGAAGAGGACGCTTAAGAAGTCTCCCCAGAAATCTTGGGGACAAAAGTTATTTAAAAAGTAAAATTCTTAAGACATTCAAAGCACAGTTCACTGATTTTCCATTAACACGTGAAATCCAGGAACACTTACTCCAGAAAAAAAGAACCCAAAAACCCACACACACATTAAACACATGCTTAGTGAGGTACCAGATCACTGTCAGCGGTGATCTCAATTATGTTTGCAAGTTGAGTAAGGCTTGCAGTAATTGGGAAGGACCTCTCTCACAAAAATCTATCAAGATGCTGCAAAGTTTTGTTTTGGTGATTCAGTAGATGGCACTTTTCCTTCTGGAAAAAACCCGTCATATATCTCAGCCAAGTGTTACAAATAGAAAGAACTGCACTCACACAAAGCAGTGATTTTGTCATGATGTTTTGTTTATGCTATTTATTTTACGTATGGAGTCACTAAGATTTGGAAACTATGCAGGAAATCATGAGTAATCATAAAATGTACATGTATCACAGAAATGATTTTGCATGAAAGTCAGCCACAGCAGTAATATAAGAAATGTAATGAGTTTTAAATTTAATCACTTTTCTCTTACCAAAAAAAAAGCCCTAGATGCTTGCCTACTTGGAAGGACTTCTTTAGTGCCATGAAATCTTTGTACTTATTCTTGTATGAGAATAAAAACCAAAGGAGCACTTTATAGATGTAAAACTACATCCCAGTTTCCTCCAGTTGTTAGTATTTCAGATAAATTCATTAAAAAATAATTTGCTGTTGCCTGATGGAGGTCTTTTGTTTGAAGTTTGGGCTATTTATCAAAGGCAAAAGTTCCATAAATCCTGTTAGGTCAAACAAGATCTGGATGTTCTGATTCATTTTAAACATTGTCGAACTTTCCAACCAAAAGCAAATAATTTACAAGGCAAAAAGATGTTTACATCTTTATGATAAAATAAAGCCTTAATTTATTTTCTATTCTCTCTTTATAGAGAATGTGTCCTTAAAGGAAATATTCCACTTATCCACATACAAGTTAGGGAGGCAGTGAAATAGTAAAACTGTCTTTTTCTTGCCAAATAAAATTGCGTGGAAGAAAGCTTAAATCAATTGCCAGAGGCCTGAATGTTGGACACATACTATTTCAAATATTCATTAAAATCTTCAAAATTAATCATAAGATAAATTAAAACAATGGGCTAAGATAAAGTACAATGCCACTAATTTGCATTCCACTTAGTTGTTAAAGACAGATTTTCATCTTTCATAATTTTCATCCTTAAAAGAACAGTATGGTAATCTCTTTTCAAAAAGCTTCCATACTTAACTGAGTAGTACATTCTTTTCTTCATTCTTGCACAGATTTTTAATGGTTATGATGAGAAAGTCACTCTGGCTGCTTATGTTTGAAACCGTAGGGTTCTAGTTCATTTGCACAAAAGCTAAAAAGCTTTTCAGTTAAAGGAAAAAATAAAAACTATTTTTGAAGGTGGTATGATGACATTATATTCTGACATATTAATGATATTATTTTCTTCCACTTTTTAAAAAACAGGTTATTCCTTCAAAAAAACCTCAAGGTCTCACAAAATAAAAAACATACTTCTGAAAAAACATACTTTTGAATTCAGGTCACTTATTTCCTAAACGTAGCTAGAAAACATAGTGGAATTCAGAGGCAGCATCACCCTTTGCACCAATTACTTGTCCTACTTATCCACCATTTTGTTCTTGATATTTATTCAAAATTATGCATACCATATGTATAATATGAAAGTCATCCCTTTCTGTCAATCCACAGATACTTCTCATAAGGATTTTCATATTGGTAAACAAGGTTCAGGATTGATTATTTGTAAAGCAACCTCTAGGCATGGAGCCAAGAAGCTGAATACACACCTAACACCATCTTATTCTCCTTTTAAAGTAAAAGTAGAGCAGAGTTTTATGGATCCAAATCTATTTTCCTTGCATGTTGTTTGTAATGTGTAAAATGAGGATGGCAATAAAAGTTACTTTTCTTATCTGGAAAATCCTTTGTTCGTTCATTGATGGTGTGAAAAGAAAGTGTGGGTATTTTCTCCTAACTTAAAAAATATACACAGTAATTTTTCTATTGAAGATGAGTGAAATGTATTCTCTGCATCATTTATGTTCTTCAGTCTGCTAAGGATGGAATGTCACATTTATTTACGCAGTTTAAAGAAAATCTATATTAATGTCTCTGTATTGAATTCCAGCTCACAAGATTTACTACGGGTTCATGGGAAAGTACAGGAAGATAAACATGTTGAAATTAAGTCCTTCTTTGAACCACTTCTGTTCTATCAGGCTTCCTTTGTGATCTGTGAGCAATCATAACATATGAACCCATTCTGCATCTGGGATATTCCTCAGGCACTAAACTGCAG